GCTACTTGAGGAAAATGGCTGGAGAGAGTCATAATGTCACAGCCACGCTTCAGTCTGCCATGCCAGCGGGGTAGTCTGTACAGCAGCAATTCTCAGCCAGGGTGCCATGGTACCCTGGGGTGCCTTAAGAGCCTCTTAAGGGTATCTTGCAATGCGAGCATGGTTAGGCGTGCAAGCATGATGCACAAGATACACCCAAAGGTTTCAAACAGGAATTCATGGTGTTAAAAGCTTTCTGCTCTGGTGTAGCCTGAGTCCTTTGCAGCAAAACAATTGCTCTATTACTTTTCTGTCGTCAAAAACTGAGTGAATGCTAAAAGGTGACATTTTTCAAGGGGATGCCTTGGGTCTAAACTGGTTGAGAACCACTGCTGTACATCCTGGGTGGAAAGCATCATGCATCTCTTTTGAAAGTGACCTTGGCACATGGATGCATAGCTCCTCCACCCCAGGACTCGATTCCTTAGGTCTACGTGCTTGCAAGACATTCCTGGTAAGCTGCTGCCAGACTGGGATTTTACCCTGCAAAGCTGACGCCTGGGCTGCACCTCTCTTTTCCTCTCTTGTTGAAATAAGGTTGGCAGATGGTTTCCACTGGTTTCTGTGCTTTCTACAAAGGATCCACTTTCCACCCCAAAGTACCCCTTGGTTCCCACCCTGATACCATCAGCGCTGAAGAAGCTGCAGCCTACCTGCACCCTCCACCTGCCAGAAAAATCCCCTGTGTGCATTGCATTTACGCAGCAAAATGAGCTCATATTTGTGCAGGAATCTACCTTTTTTAAAGGATAGGATATAAACCTCTGTTATACTGAGTCCCTGCCATGTGCCCCTTTTCCCCCACAGCAAGTAATGACCTTGACTTTGTCCTTCTTCCACGAGCCCAATCCTGCCAGGTCCTGAGCATCCTCAGTCCACTGGGATTTGAGGATGTTGGATGGCTCGGAAGATCCAGCCCTATCGGAAGAGATAGGATCCTTCCTGTGTGTTAGTGCCTCATAGCCTTTGGTAAAAGGGGAGCCTGACAAGGAAGATACGGTATCTGGACCGCTTATCTGGCCGCGAGCATCAGAGACAGGGTAGCAGAGCACACAGCTTTAAAGGAGTTACAGCTGACAGAAAACAAAACTGGATGCAGGCCAGATGGTTGCAAGGTCAGATGGGATCAGTCCTACATAATGGAGAAGGAAGACGCAGGAAGCTAATGCAGTGAAGGAAAATGTCTTTGGTCCCAGGGGTTGCTGTGGGACTTGTAGATGCTGTCTGCAGATGCCCTGAATCATCTTCCTTAAAATGATGGGAGATTTGAACCAGGGCATGAAAGCAGTAAGTCCCAGTTATCTGCTTTTTTTTTCCTGTTGGGGTTTGGGAGGAATGGCTTTACAGGGGCTCCTAGGCTGCTGTTTGCAGATCCAGTTTTCCACTAGTCTAAGAAATTTGCTCACAGTTCAGGATTCAACTGACGACGGGCTTGAGAAATGAAGGCGTTGAGAAACTTTTCAAGTTAGTCATCCGGGGATGCCAAAGAGTGGGCCTGGAAGAGGCCAGAGTATGTGGTTTTATTAAGGAATGAGTCCGCCCAGGCTGTTCTGAGCAGCGAGATAGAGTTCAATTATTAAGTAATAGGGTGATAGGAAAAACATCTTGTATTAGAGATGTGGGAAATGGCTCAGAAATAGGGAGCACCAATTTTAGGCAAGACCCCCCCCCAACACACACACACACACACACACACACACACACACACTTCTGGATGTATAGACACAACTAAACCCAAAGGTTTTTAAAGACCGAATGAGCAGGAGAGTCTCTGAAGTAAACCATGTGTAAATGCACTCAAGAAAAAGGAGATTTTTAGGGTATCGCTTACAGCTGGTTGGGAAAGTTTTGACAACATGATTTTTCCTTGGACGAGGCTCATTTATTGAAACACAAACTGTTGTTGTTGTTGTGGGAACATTCTCTGTTTCCATAAGAAATGGCTGGGGGATGGCTTCTCATTTCTGGACAAAAGGAAAATGAGAAAGAAACTCGCCTGCAGAAAGGCCAGTAGCCCCGGGCCATGCGGGCGGCCGTATTTAAGCCTGAGCTCCATGTCGAGAAGAACCGGTTTTCATTTTGCAGCTGTGAATTGACTTTGCGTCTCCCCAAAGCCAGACCGGTGACTCAAACCCCAAACCCCAAACCACTCTCTGCGCCTGCAAGCTGGCAGTCCAAGGGATGATGGTAACCCATGCTTTGTGCAGAGCCAGGGCTCCCTCCTGGTGCACCTTTCCCAGGGGCAGCATGACAAAAAGCCACCCCCAGCTCTGCCCGCGGGTTGCTCTTCTCTCGAGGTCCCCGAGAAGCCGGTGTGCAGAGCAATGCGAGAGATGATTATTGGGCTGGGATGCCTACACGCCCTGCAACGCATGTTTTATTAGGTGCACACAACGGTCACACTTGGGTCTCCGTGGGCTCCACTGCATAGTCTCTCTTGCGTGTCTGCTGCATACCCAGGCCGCACTGGACACTTCTGCTTTGCACATTTGCTGCCTCTTACTCCAGAGTCGGTGAGGGTCCCAACAGGGACAGCAGATGACTGATTCAAGTCCCTCTCCAGTGACTGTTTTAGCTTCACCATCACTCGAAAGCATAGAGGCAATCCCGTGGGCTTTGCACAGTCTGCTTCTGATAACCCAGAGCTGGTAGGAAGGGGGGGGGGATCATTTTTGGAAGAACTAAGCCCCTGCCCTGCATCACCTGCTACCCATTTCTAGAGCCCAGACCCCAGCACTTGAGGCCGGCAGAACCCTATAATCTGACATTAGTTTGAGCATCTTTTTTTTTTTTTTTTTAAATGCCAAGGAGTAGACTTTTTGCTGACTTTTGTGGAAACGTGTAACTTGAGAGGGGTCAAAATTGCCGAAAAGGGATGAAAGAACATTTCCATGAAAGACTTGTCACCAGCGCTGCACCATTGTGCTCCTGGCCAGTCCAAACTGGGCTAGCCAGACAACGCGGTAAGCCAATGTGTCATCCCCTTCCCGAGTCCACAACAACCGGCTCGCCGTGTAGGCGGCAGCTGCTGATCCACACGGAATAACCACGTCACACGCTGACATGAAATACGACACAGGCTGCTCGATTCCTCCTAATTGCATCTCAGTGCACAACTGCACTGCTTCTGCCGAAGTCCAGCAATTTGGGTTGCTGGCTTCCTCCCTTCGCTGACCTACAAATACCAGTTTTCAGGGGGAGATTTATGACCGAGCACAAAATTACTGTCTTGTAAAAGCACAGATCAGAGCTATAAATAGGGATCTAGGATCAGCACGCAGAAAAAACCCCCAGGGTGTAGTGACTCTTGCTTGGTCTGTACAAAATAAAATGGTGACCCACATTCAGGTAGGAGCCCAGGGCCTCAGGTGAAATTGCATCCACTGAAATTGCACCGGTTGAGGAGTTGGCCCCCAATCCGAATCTGCACCGTAATGGAGAAAACAGGTGGTGAGAACGGCAGCAGCCAGACTCCACCATAATCAGGGGGCTGAAAACTGAATCCTCTCTCATCTTCTGTCCATTTATCTCATTGCCCAGGATGTTAAAGCACAGTTTATGCTTTCGATGAGTTATTTAGCAGAGAAAGGTATTTGCTCTCGGGATAGCGTTGATTAACCTCTGCATGCTGATTTAGTAGGCTGATGGATTAGTCATGTTTCCTGATAATCCTTGCCAGATTTCAGCTTTTTGGTTTTTTTAAGACATGGATGGCACGATACAACGGTGAGGGTGTTAGTCAATGAGACCCTCCCTCCTACCCAGGTAATCACCCCCATGTTAACTCTACAGCCATCATTACTTCCCCATGTGCCGAAGCTGACTCTGGTTGCTAGAACAAGCTGAAATCTCTCTCCTAGCTGTCCCATTAAGAGAATAATAGAGTCACTTTTATGACTTTTCCTTTCAAAATGACTTTAAGGGGTCAGCAATGAACAATTAAATCAGCGATGCTATTCAGAAGCAGCAGCTAAGTACTTGGCACTGATATTCTGCTTTTTCTTTGGATCCAGTCCTGACATGAAATGGCACTCTGCCAGGGAAGTACTTTGCATTGTTGATCTTGAAAATATAACATGTGGCCAAACCACTTTGGGCTTATGAAGAAAGGTGTTTGGGGAATGTAAGAAAACATTTATATATCAACCAGGAGGCTTTCAGGGGGTGCTTCCATGACCAGGTGTCTCTGATCGGATGCTAGCTGGATAGAAAACAGGATTTTGAAACAGAGGGCTGCAAACATCCATTTAAATAGGACATGCTAGGCCAAAGGGAGGCTCACATATTCTCAATATTTGCTAGTAAGCTGCCTGAGAAAGTCCATGGAGACAGTGGCAGCTTTCTTCTCTTCAGAAAATATGCTCGAGTTCAGCTGTTGTTACAGGAACATGGAAGCACTATAAGGTGTTGCTTGTTTCCTGGCGAAAACCAGATTTTTGCATAGTTTCAACCCAAAATCGTAAAGTGCTTGAAATGTGGCCAGGCACCCCGAAATGTCCATGCCTCTCGGTAAATCTCTGGGCCTTTCTGTTTCGAGCTTGCTGTGAAATCGGAAATCAAGCGTGCTGGAATTTGCAGAACTTTTCATTTCGTCATTCGCGCGTCCTAATCCGCAAACCTGTTTCATGTCCCAAAGTTTTGCTGGATGGTAGAAAAGACAAGGAAGGGAGCGGGCTGTTCTACAGGGCATTTTTATCATTGCTTAGCTGATTAATGGAAAACGCTAGCTGGAAGGAATTATGACATGCTGATCACCCTAAAATATACAGAAAAGACAGGTGGGGTAGGCTGTCCTAATAAGCAAGGAGGCATATGTTTCGAAAAATGTGGGGGGAAACAGTCCTCTGAGTCTTCCCCCCCCACCATATCTTCAGGATGCAAGTCTTTGGACTTGGGTAGCAGACAGCAAAATAGTCATCAGATGTGCCAAACCCACACCCTCTGCATTATTTTGTGACAAAGTCAATGACTTTAAATAGCTCCATTGGCCAGGTCTTACTAAATACAGGGGTTAAGAAAAGGCCTTTGAAATGTTGCATCCTTCCAGCCTGGTCACAACAACTCTTTGGTGTGTGGCAGAACAGAAACCAGACTTGGTGGACAGACAGAAAGGAGAAGATGTCCTTTCAAAGGAGACGCTCTCGAGGATCAGCGGATAGAGAGAGGCAGGGTCTGCAGAGAAAAGAACGGCAACCTGTTCCCCAGACCAGCACAGATAACAAGGCCACATTGGACCTACCAAAGCCCAGAGGGAAATGCTCCAGACTGGGTGGATGGATGTATGTCCTGTTGTCATTTTAACCCTTTTTATTCTGAGATGTGCATTTCAGCGGTAGGTAACTACTGTCTTGCTTTGAGGAAACCGGGAGTTACAGCCCTTGCTTGCTGCTCGCAACCCCGAAGCAGGGGCCGGATGCAGCTAAACATGTTGGGGAAACATGGCTGGTAAGCAGGGTTGCTTTAGCTTGGATGCCCAGTCTAAAATCAGGGTGGGATTTCTCCCTAAGTCAAATTAATTCAAGTGTTGGAGGGGAAGGCCCCCGGGAGGGAGGAAGGGTCCAAGCTACAGTGAACAGAAGGAGTAGGATGCATGCTGTAGGGTTACATGCTGTATTTCTGCCTTCTTCAAGAGCTTCCCAAACTAAATATAGCCTAGTCCTGGAAAATTCATCAGCGTGTAGGTGTGTGTCACGGGGGGAGGAGAAGGGGAGGGGGGCAATGAAAAGCTGCTGAGGGTGGTTTTGTGGAAATACTGGAGAGACAGAAGCACAAATTAGTCATGGGAGAGACCACTCAGTCATTGGATCTAATTGTTCGAGTGATTCATCCACAAGAAACCGCTGCGTTGCCTGACGTCTTGCAATTCGTTCTTTATTTAGAAAGCAGCTTGGCTTTACCATGAATATGTGGATTTTTGTCCCAATGGCTTTTTGATAGCTGGGTGCCTGCTCCATCCTTGTATTATCATCATTTCTAAACCGCAAAGTTCAAAGAAAAAGAAAAAGCAGCAAAATTATGGGGTTTCTCATTCCTCAAGATCTGGGTGGAATGAAGCTATAATCTTGCAACATCAAAGGGGAATCTATAGTATGTGCCATTTTCAACGCCGATATTTGTGCAGCGAAGGTTTATAAAGGGGAAGGCGGAGCGCTTCTACCGCTCTGACTGCGATGTGGTTAACTGTGGACTGGAATGGAGTGAAAGCAGGGGAATTGGAGGTGACGGGAAAAATCGGTGGGCCTGAAAGGTGAGAATTGGCAATTCCCTCCTTGCTTTGCTATATATGCACAGAGCAAGCGACACGGCATCCCCTGGAGAAGGGGCACAACGTGCTTCATGGTTGCATTTTGGAGCCAGAGAGCACAAAGCTGTTAAGTTATTTGCTCAGGGTCTATAATTGGCTTCACGTCCCCCAAACCTCCCAATAAATTCCACGACCATAAGATCATCTTTTTACCCGTTGAGGACCATTGAGTCACAGTGACGGAGAAGTGGGAATGGACTAGCTGCCCTGATGCCTGTCCAGGCTTATTTCTGAGTGTGCACAGCTTTGTCCAGGCTAGTCTGAAGTGATTCAAGCAGTGGGCTTCTCACCACTTCCTTTGCGAGCCTGTGCCGTGGCCTAATACCTCTTATTGTCAGGATTATTTTCCTGACAATTAGCAGGGATTTTGTGCTTCTTCAATTCTGTCCAGCAATCCTATTCATGCCCAACTTAAATAGGTCTCTGCCTCTGGGGTGTTTGCAGACTTCACACATACGTGGTTGGCATGCATATTCCCAGCCACACTTCTTCCACGTGCATTTACCCTGGCCAAATGACGAAAGTCTCTTCAAAACCATGCATGGGGCCTGGAGGGGTATAGGACGGCTCTAGTACCAAAAATGCACAGAAGGGCTGCAGAAACAGTTTTTCTTTCTAGGAACTTTCTATGGAGCAAGGAGGTGGGACTGCCATACTTTTCAAGCCAGGCTGGCAAATGTTATTCCACATTTTCTAGGCTAATATTTACAAGCAGTTCCTGCAGACTTAATGTACTCACTTTGACTTCCCAAGATGTGCAGCCATTCTCCCTCTTTCGTTCTGGGAAGCACTCCTGACAATTTCTTCTTGGGAAGCAACTCTGAATTTTTATTTTTATTTTGTTGGTAGGACCTATCTGTCCATAGCTGGTTTGGAAAAAAAAAAATTGCATGAACTTGGACTGCAAAGCCAGTTAGGAGCCTAAAGGGTACAAACATTTGAATGCTGGTTAATCATCAGATGTGGCAGAGAATTTATCTTACAAACAGGAAAGTCTAGCTTCTGTGTGTTTTATTACCCAATATTTATTCAATAAGTATTTCTCCAACGGCACAGGGTGGGGACATGATAATGATGGGAGACAAACTGCTGGATACAATTATTGCAGATTCATCTTGATTGTTGTTTCAGGCTCAGAAATGTAGGAGGGCAAGACTATGGTTTCTAGAAGAGCTGAGGTCCACTAATTTAACTTCTCCTTTAGAGGCACATAGCAGCACGCGAAAAGCCAACCATTGCTGAGAAAAACATGCATTCAGGCTCCAACAGATGGTTTGTGAAGTGAACTTGTGACATTAGAAACATGCAAAAAAAAGTGCTTGCACAGAAGGGTAAGACTTACATTGCATCTGCTGGTTTGGCTTTTGCCCATCCAGATGGATCTCTGGGGAAAATCACAGGAGCCTTTTTTGTGGTTATGTGTAAGGAAACAATCAGAGAAGTGCCAAAATCCAGATGAAAACTTTCCCACCAGAGATGCACCCAAAAAAGTTCAGACCCAGAGCTAAATACTGTGGCTTGGGCCCATCTCTAAACTTCACAGACATGATGATGATGGACACCATGCAACCAAGAAACCTGGCTGTTGCTTTGATAATGACAATCTCTATTTAATGCAAGTTTAGTTGAAATATAGGCTGAAGAAGGATCTTTCTGAGCTAACTCCAGCAAAGACCACAACCCCCTGGGCAAATCCATGGTTTTCTGCACTGCTTATCTGACCCCTCCAAACTCCCAAGTCCCAATTTGGTGCTGTGACCACTATCCTTATTGCCTCCCAGGATTGTATGAGACAAGGTAAATCCCTTGCAAGCTGCGACATCAGGGAACATGCAACTGTGCTGCATTTGTGGAGCATGACAACACCCAGAAAACACATGGTGAAATCCCGGCAGACCTCTCAGGCTGCAAAATATCATGGGACCAGTCCTGGAGGGAAGCAGCAAATGAAAATGTTCCAGAGGTGAACTGGATTCAGATGTCTCACAAGGTCACTTCTATTCAAACCATACCCCTCTTGCACTTCTGTCCACCAGCACCCTTGTGGCATGCAGTAGGCTTGAAGTCATTAGCATTTGGGACTCGGCTAAAGGGAAGGCAATAACACTGGAAAAAGAGAGGAATGGAAAATCTGCTCACTTTATTAAAATATTTCCTGTGAAAACAATTCTCTTTGATGATTAGGAGAAAAACAAACTCCACCTTATTATTTATAGGTCACGGTGATTTGTTTCTTCCCAATGGGGTATGTCTTAGTGTCATCGGCTGGCAGGGACCAGGCTTATTTCTTACTCAGTGCAGCAGAAATCTGGAAAAAGGGGCGCATCTGAGGCCCCAGCCGCTTGTGGCAACATAATCATGTTATAAAAAATTGGACTGCAAAGCGAAAACAAGTGGCTGACTAGAGCGAGGATGTGTTATTTTTATTTATGCGTCTGTAACTGTCTTTCTGGAAGATGAGCTTTAATCCTTCAGCATGGTCGTGTATTTTCCATGTTCTGGATTGCTCTGACAAAGCATATTTTGGTGTGCTGCCCGCTGATTGAATCGGGCTGAATTCCTGGTGCAAGTTAAATTGCCCGGTGCCACATGAGGTGTTTTCAATGCAATGCGATCGGGCTCCTCTTGTGCCATCAGAAATACATACTGTGCAGCAAACAGAGATGGACCTAGATTCAGAGCCATGACTGAGCAACAGCTCTGTCTGGAGGTTTCACTCCTCTTCTTCCACTTTTAATTACTTTAATTAGCATCCCTATAGTGCCTAAGAGCTCCAGGCAGCATAAACCAGGGCCTCACCTGCTTGGTGCTGTACAAACACAGCACAATATGACCACCTCTGCCTCCACAGTGCTATTTTTCTTCTCTAGATTTGATTGCTGAGGGGAAATGTCCCTGCAAAGAAGTGTGAACTACTACCGAGACAGAACGGCAAAGTTTTGCACCCCGGATAAGTGCATGCTCAGGACTGACTCTGCATTGGCCTTTATCTGGGGCCATCTTACAGATGTGCAGAGCACCTAGTACATTTTGGATATGTGGATCATCTTCTCCCTGATGCAAGCTGAGTTGTGTCTTACTCCAAGAATGGGTCACTTGTTATCAGTCAAGTCCATGCAGGAAGATCTGGTCTAATAATAATAACCATACATCTTGCTGGTCTGAATGTCGTAGCTTGTTCAGAAAAGTGGAAGCAATAGATGGGTTATCATTAATAAGAGGAAGGAGGAATAAAGAGAAGTAAACTCCCATGACATGGATTTTGATTACTTCCACAGGTTCCAGGCTATATTGCAGACTGTGCCAAGTCAGTCTGGTTCGTTCCTACTATTTTTCCTGTCTTCATCTCCTATTTGCAATATCTTCTTGGAAGCTGGAACATCAGCAGCTTTCGAAGATAGCTTTGTCCTTTGACATTTGGCAGAGGTGGGTTTTTTCCATTGTGTGCAATGGAAGTAGAGCGAGCAGTTTGTTTTGAACAGCCACCTTGAGTTCAGCAGAGCCAGCTGCCAAGCCGATCTCTATCTATCTTCATGCATCTTGGTGGACGTGGGACTCGCACAGCTGTAAAGATGGCGTGCATGGAGGCTGCCCAGCTGCGAAACATGCTGGATTTTGCAGGTCCTGCGAAAAAAGAGAGAACTATGCTTTTATTGTCCAGTCCTAGAGAAGTGATTTTGTGGAGGGAGGCCCTCTTCATTGCTCCCCTGTTTGTTTTCCCTTCTGTAAAATGAGGTTTATCCCTGCTTTGGTGGGAAAGAGATTTTGATGCTTAATTAATTGTTCGTAAGAAGCTTTGAATAAAGGCAATTATGGCAGTGAATTTTCTTTCTAGTCTGGAACTTGCACGGCTCTTGCTAATGAGATTAGAACATAAATTTGGAGCCTAAATTACTTGTTGCTTTTTCCCTTCTTCTTTCGAGAGCGCGTGTTTTCTAGGGAGTTGGTTTGTGGCATCTGGCAAGTAACCGTTATGGTAGGCAAGCTCTGATTCTGATCTCATCACCCATTTTAGCGGAGTTAAGTCTGATTTACACTGATGCAACAAGGGAGAGAGTCAAGCCCGTGGTTTGTGCATGTGTAAAAAAAGCAAAAGAAAATCCTGCCTTCATTTCACACAGAAATGGAGGCAAAACTAAGTATGGAAAACTGCTGACGCAATTAGGGAAGGTTTTTTTCCGTCAGCATAATATTTTTTTGAGTCTGGGCCTCGGTTAGATGGCAATGCTTGCCTCTGTGATATATGATTTTCTGTTTCTTCCCTTGCTTTGTGATTCACTGTCGCTCGGCTTTCCTTCAGGTATTTTTACTATATAGTGCCTAGACAAGAAATCAGAACTAGCAGAATTGCAAATCAAGGTTTCTGTGGATTCACTGAATTAGCATATGCATGCACGCCCTATCTCAACCGTCAGATTGAAAAGGACACTAGGAGAAACCTTAAAAATTGTGCCTGACAAATTCACTGCGGTTTTGGTGTGTTTTTCATCCCTCTGCAGCTTTTGCTAATCCTAGGGGGCAATGCGCATATGAACGAGAGACACTTTCTCATCCCATGGTGAAGTGGGCCGTGATATGTGAGTGAAAGATTCTGTTTCCTATAGAGATTATTGCAAAGTTGTGTCCCTGATTTGCTGACCACATCACATGAACTGAACTGCTATTCCAGCTGGCACTTGTTGCCAGCCTTGTTTGGGGGCTGGGGACTGAATGGGGCTATAGACACGAGTCTAGGGAGCTGGTTCTTCTAGGGCTGGGCTGAGGCATGCCACCAGCTTTCCTACACGGTGCCTCTTCTATGAGCAAATGGTTTCCGTTTCCAGGGCTTTTAATCCAAGGGCCTTTCAGCAGCACTAAATTCACATGCTTTCTGCGCCCCCACCCCATCCTTAAACTCATATGGCTGAGTTCATGACAGCTGTAGTTTCCATGCCAATCAGGTGTGAGATCATAATTCAGCATTAGGGCTTCACTCCTGGCCAATGCATAAGAAAGAGCTTGGACAAGGACACAGATGATCTGTTCAGGTGCTAATAATGACAGAAAACAGAAGGCATAATATTGCAGAGAAAAGGGAAAGGCTGCATAGATAGTTCAGAGCAATAATCTCCGTCACAAATCACCTCTCTGTGAATCATCCCTGAACAGAGGTGATATGCCTTATTATTCACTGAACAGCTCAGACGGACAATTCCCAGATTATGTGCTGCTGTCATACGATGTGGGGGAATTGCCTGCCAGCCACCAGATAACTTGCTTAGCACTGGCTCTGATCTGTGGCTGAGCATGAAAAACTTCTCGAACTCAAAAAGCAACCGGCTTTCTGGGGTGCCTTTTTTCCTGGATGTTTGCATTCACTACATTTCACTACCTGATGGAGATCGTCAAACATATTGGCCACTTATTTTCTGGATTTTTTAAAAATGCCCACCGCTAAAGAACGACTGAAGAAAGCGATCCATGAAAATGCCTTGCAAATCAAATGTATTTGGTGATGGCAGGTGGGATTTGGGGGGTGCTAGATAAATATTTGACTCTTTGTAACCAGCATAGTCTTTTATTATTTTAATTATTCCATGTTAATTATTCCATTTGGATCCCAGGCCAGATTCTGGTTTGATACGAGTCAACAGAGGTCTGTTCGCTCCAGGGGCATCAGGCCAATTTTCACCTGCTGAACGTCTGGCCCATTCTGTTTGAATGCTCGGCTCTTCAAAACTGGCACGTTCGCTTTGGGATTTTCCAGTTTGCTATTACAAGCTTAATTTTTTTTTTTTTTATTCCCCTACTGCTGTTTAGGAGAAAGAAACAAGTCTGCACAGGAATCGAAATCATCTGGAAAACGACTGGGCTGGTAACTGGAGCTCTTGCTGTTCAGCTGAATTTTTCAGGGCCGGATTCTCAGCAGTGTACATTGGAGGAGCTGCTTGGATTTCGGTGAGGGTGGGCTGATTTACCCCACCCCTGAGCTATTATCTCTCGGGTTCCTATTTGAGCAGCGAAGCGGGTTGGCACGCAGGATCAGTGTCGCTTGCTCTGTTGTGCTGGCCTAGCTTAATTTTCTTCCGTTCGCCCTGCAATGGGCTGTCCAGCGCGCTCGAGAAAACGTCTCCCTGCCTTCCCCTTGCTGGCATGCTGTTGCAACTGCCCAGTTTCAATGCCCCGGTGAAGGGGACTATTAAAGCGTTAATGGGATTTTCATTTGCAGCTGGAGCAAAACAGAATGAGGTCTCCTTTCCAAACAATGAGCTGTTTGTATAATCAGCCATGCCAGCCACATCTGGGACAAGCAGACTAATGAGATTCTGGCATTCAAGACATGGAGAGGCCCAAGTCAGACAACACCTGTAGCTCTGTACAAATCAACCGTGGTTTGCAGGGCTTGTGGGGGGTCTCTAGAAAAACAGCTACTAGGCATGGTTTCTACCATGGAGTTGGACGTTGCTTGGTTTAAGTATTATGGTGCAATGGGAAGAAAAGTCTGGCAAGGCTTTATGATAATGAATCACTCAGTGACTGTCACTAATCCTGCCACTCGCCCTAGTTCTATAGCATTATATGGCTATTAGGACATTTCCTTTCACTATTACTATGTGATGGCAGCGAGCGCGCCTCGCCTCCTCAAAGCATTGCTGTGAAATGGCTACTGTTCCCTACACCAGATGCAGCTGCAAGGGGGGGGAAAAAAAACCCTTGTCCATCTTCTTTGGGACGTTTCAGAAGTGAAGGCGCACTATCAAGGCAAGACAACATGGCTAGGTGCTGCACGCTGAGCACTTTGTGAACCACAAGGAATTTACAGGGAAGTGTAGGTAATGCCTATCTTGAACTATACAGCTTCAGGCTCCTCTTCCATTTGTCTAGCCAGCCTTTACTCTGCTGCTTACTCATGAAAGACATATAATTTAAGGGGCTTTCATCTGGATGATTTTGGAGGGAGTGTCACTGGTATCTTATCCAACTTCCACCTGGCACCATGCAGCTCCTCTGCCAAGGCAGATCTTGTTCCTTTGGGTTAGTGACTGAAAGGAGTTCACCTAACCTGTTCTCCCATCCCTTCACTTAGAGCAGGGGCTGCTTTGTCCCCAATATCTTTTTACGTGCTTGTCAGCCACTCCAGACTCCCAAGGGGAAGGGGTGGCTAAAAGGTGGGGGAAGCCTCTCCTAGCAGCTGAAGGCAGACTCGCCAGGTTGATTTCCCAGCCTGATGCTCAGACTCCCTGGCAGCTGGGACAAGCTTCACATGCCTGAGCCTTCCCTGTAAACCCACAGGTCTTGCAGCACCATGTGAACTCATGGTACCTGCACATGGCCTGCCTCTCTTCAAGTCTCCATGTGAGATATTCACAGTGCTCCTTTAGTCTCTTGGCAGTATAATTGCCTGCACTGGCATGGCTCTTCTTAGTCACTGCCCCCCATTCCCTACTGGCATGGCTCTTCTTAACCACTGCCTCCCATTCCCTAGAAGGGTCCTAAGGGAAAGACAACGTAGGTGGATTATTAATGCTGACTTGCTCCAGGTTTGTTTGGTGGGGAATGATACCCTAGTGAGCTGTCCTCCATGCGTGGTCAAGTCAAGTCAGTCCCGAGGCCGCTGCAACCGTGCATCATTGGTGATTCTTCGGGCAAAGTGACTTGGCGGTGCCCATCTCCTCTCCAGGTACCCCCATGTATAGCCTGACTCAAATGATTCCCTACAGGGAGGCAGGGAGTAGGGTGGCATTTGTCTTTTTGGGCCTAGGCATTTTGCAAGGAGTCAACCGAGGGATAAAGTGCACGAATCAGAAATAGGATGCAGGAGCAGAGGGGGCTGGACTCGATGATCTCACGAGATCCCTTCCAGCCCCAAATGTCTATGAATCGCAGTCAAGTGTTCAACCCCCAAACTATCCCATTATCAACACAATAGTTATGGGCTTGACTGCCATCATCATGACTGTAGGCAGCGGGACACTGCAAAGTGCTGCTTGTTGACTTCCCGGAGAAGGAACCTTAGTAATCCTCAGGTGGATGAAGAGGATTTGAGTCCAGTTCGACTGCAGATGATGAAAACCCCAAGTTTCCTCAGCAACAATGACCCATGACAGCTGAGAAGCCTAGAAGGATACAGGAGGAGGGGAGATCATCAAGGAGAAGGGTTAAGTAAGATCTCCAAGTGGACAAGCCTCAGGCTACCGGCCCTTGGAGAAATCCAGGGAATTTGAGCTATAGGTTGCAATGATGCCAGGGTTTTTTATACCCATGGTGCCTAGTCCAGCAGGGAAACCCAGTAGCAGTAAGAGCAGCACAACCCTGGATTACAGTGGCAAGCTGTGCTACATGCAGCCCAAAGGGCATATCAGTTTTCAGGCATTTAGCAGTCTTTCCAAGTTTTCTCTCTCAGTGATTTGCCAAAGAAGTTTCTGCCACATTGAATCTGGTGATTAAAGGTCTCAGTGCTCATGCATTTGGCTGGCAAGACGAGTCCCCCTATTTCATTTCCCCTTTTTACCTCCTCTCGCACTCTTTTTTAACCCCTGACAAAGCTCTTGTATAGGTGGGCATACTTGTATGAATACATCCGTGCAGATCCCTCCTACCCTTGTTGGCAGGGATGGTTATCTGCATATGGCTATACTGGTGCGGGCAATTATTTCCACTGCAGGTCCACTTAGTGAGTTTTGGTGAAATGTTTACATGCATGGATAAAGCCGCTATACCCATGCATGCAAGCATTGCCTCCTTTTGGCTTGCTTTAGGGCATTGCAACCCTACTTTTCTATGGTTCTGGGATTTGCAATCCTACTTTCTTTCCTGATTTCTAGGGTGATATTTGCCTTTTGGCCCCAGAGCCTTTCCTTCCCCCCAAAAAATGGTCCAATGGATAAGCAAAGCATGGAGAAAGGAAAATACCAGCAGGCAAACAGTGCTCTAGGGTTGAAAACAAATGAAAGCCAGGCTGGCTGGGGGTCCCAAGTCCTTTGAAAGGCCATTGCAACCCATTCAGATGAAGAAATGAGAGAGCAGCGGCTTGCAGCCTTGTGTGCAGCTCTGTTTCCTGCCGCTGGCTGGATTCAAACTTGCCGCTGAGCCCTGCCTCCTTTCCAGCTCTGGGGGCTGGTTGGAGAAAGCAGATCAGGAAAGAGATCAAGGCGTAGGGAAGGGGGGAAAAAAATCACCCCATGCCACACATTCAATTCCTCTTTCCCTGCCTGCAAAACTTTTCCCACCCCCTTTCTCTCCAGTGGAAGGGGGCTGAGCTCTGCAGCCTGCTCTAAACTCTGATTTGCTGCATTGGCTCTCGACTGACAATCTCTGGCATCTGCTTTAAAAGAAGAAGGGAAAAAAAAAAGTTTTCACTCCTCGAGCAGGCAGGGGAAGGGGGACATCACTTCAGGACAGCCCCAGAAGGATCAGACCAGGAGCTGCAGCAGGAGCTGGGGAGGAAAGAAGGACCTGGGACATCCAGCCAAGAAGCCAAGCTCCTAGCAAACTAAAGCAGCAGCAGCAGAGAAAGTTGAGCCTCCACCCAAGTTATTCCCAATCAGACCCAAACAGCACTATCTCATGGCTTTATAAAAAAAAAAAATCATAATAATAATTGCTTCTTTTTGGGGTGTGGGGAGGAAGAATTCCTGAACCTTTGCCTTTGATCTGCTTTTTACACCAGACCTAAGGTTGGCTGAGCATTTGCACAGTACCCCCAAGTCAAGCCCCTTTTTTTATTGTGGACCATGGATACACACACAAGGTGGAAAAGGAGAAGTTGGATAAGGACCTGCCCACAAAGCCTAGCAATATTTCTCCTCTATGCAATTTCTCAAAGCAATGCAGGTAAGTCACTTTTTTTTTAAAATGTGCCTTCTTTGTGTACTTAATACATGCCTGCCTGCAGGCTACACAATCTCTCTCTGTCTCTCTCCCTCTTTTCCCTTAGCCTTGTTAAAACACGATTGCATGAGTAATGGTGTTGTCATCTGTGTGGGGAGCAACCCTATGGGTGAGCTCGCTGGTGAGTTGGGAGAGGGGTTTGTGCCCAGGAGAAATCAAGGCTGCTTTCTATTGTGTTTTGCAGAACATTTGGCTTTCCTTAGCCAATGCATTCCAAAAAAAGTTTAGCTGCCTAAGTCCTCTCAAAGCCATTTGTCAGGGGGCCCATAAAAGGGAGAAAACTTAAAACACAATACTTTTTTTCCACCCCCCCACCTCCCTCCTTAAAACAGAGCTGTATCCAGGGTCTTTAAAAAAAAATCAATGTGCATTTCCCCTGCCTGAAACATCTCTTCTTTGCATAGTTCCTGGTGCAGGAGTGCAAAGGTTTTGTTTTTTTTCCAAGAAGGAATCTGTTCCCTTCTCTCCCAGATCAAAGCAGGGGATCCTGGTGCACAAAAGCTTTGCAAACTTTTCTTTTATAAACTTAGAAAGCGGACGCCCCCTATTGTGCCTAGTCTGTACTTTGTTAACCCAAGTTTGTACCCCCCCCCAAGCTTTCATTCACTTTTGCTGAGTTTGGAAAAGTTGCAATGCAAAGAATTTCCATATGTCACTTTTTTTTTTAAAGTTCTGGAGAAACAGGACTTGAGCCCTTGATTTTTGTCAATGAAGCACTTAGGTTTAATAATGACCTTGGAAGAAAAGGGTGATGTTAATGGGCACAGTCACAATTATGAATTGATGAGCATTTAATGAATTTGGGAGTTCTTTGAACTCACAAGGGCTTAACTCTGTAGGGGGCTTAATGATAGCAGTCATCTGAAAATGTGTAAGAAGAGCAATTTTTATTTCCGATCTCCTTTTAAAGGGACTTTGGCCTTGCCTTCTCTGACAATTCATCCCAATCTGGAGGTCTGAAGACTTTAGATAGGACCAGGAGGGAGTTTTTCATGACCGGCAAAATGTAGAAGGCTGGTAGTTAACAGCAAAGCGAAATCCCAGTGACTTTTATACATGTAAAACATCTTGTCTTTGGTTTTAATTCTGAAATTGCTGTACATCTTTCTGTCTGCTTTGCCAATAGCGGTTTCTGGGATGGTTGTGTGTTACCAAGACCATGTCTGGTGGGATTTAGAGCATAAGGGAATGAATATTGATTATTGCTATTTCAAGTTTCTTCCAATTTCAATCCTTTTTTTTTTTAAAGAGAGGGAGGGGTTTTCTCGGCAGCAGTCTACCAGAAATGAAAAACGTCCTTTATTTATCATATGGTGTATAAAAAAATACCTATGAAGCATCGTTGGTGCAAAACCCACCATCTCAGTGCTCCCAGTTGTTGTATACATAGCATACAGATGTTGTATAGCATACAGATGTTGTATAGCATGACAGATCTGTTACCCGGAGCAGTCCGGTGTGGCTGGAAGATGAGATGTGCTGTTAGTTCATTTTGATATTGTGAGATTGGAAGGAATATATATATTTTTGGGGATAGTCTCTTGGAAAGGGTCAGCTCACCTTGCTGGCTGCTCTGCTGTAGACAGATGGCTATACCACCAGTAATTTCAGTCCTTTCAATGAGAGGAAGGCAAAACTTTTGCAATGCTCTGGCAGTGCAGCCAGGGTGATATGTGTTTCAGTCGTGCCGTAGCCTCTTGGACTTCTTGTCTGGTAGAGTATGTTCTTTGGATTGCCTTTAGGGTGCGGTTTGGCTCCTGACGAAGTCACTTGGAGGCTGCCCACTGCCTGCACTGCGTTGTGGATCAGACTCCTAATGCAGTGTCAGCTTGGAGGTTTGTCCATAAAATGAATTGCAACGTGGGAGGCTCCCCTGGCAGCGCAGAGACATCTCGCTGCTCGGAGCAGCACCTCTCCGTGAAGCGAGAAGCCTTGAAGTTTCCTAAGGAGTTTCCTAGTAGGATATTGGATTAGGCGGAGGAGGGAGGAGCCAGTTAGAGCAATCCGTGGCAATGCCTAGCGTTCTTTTACGCTGATTAATTTTTTCCTCCTGTAAAGCTGTCTTTCCGCCTCTGTTTCATCCCACTTTCTTTAAATGGCTAAACCAAAACTGAAACAGTAAATAGCATGGAATGAAGTGACCAGTCTCTTCCTTGCACCCCCTAAGAACCAAAAGTACATCTTTTTTCTTTATGGAATTGAACAGAGACACAGTTATTTGCAAATAGTCCTTTATTCAGGAAGCTGTCCGAAGGGATGGGCATGAAGGTGATCCTCAGTGGTCTCCTTCCAAGCTATGGCTACTGCCCCTCTTTGCAAATGATGTCATGCTAAAGAGCTCAGCCAGCACTGGAGTTGCCAATCCTCATCAAAATGCATCAGGTTTCTGGGTGAATATTTTTGGAAGCAGCCATTTCCTTTAGTGGTAAAGAAAAGGGTAATGAGAATACACAAGCCCCGCTTTTAAAAGAAACAAAAACTCTGGAGACGATGAAGTATCTTGTTACCGTCTGTTGCTTCTCTCCTTGGCTGATTCCCAGAAGTCTAGACTGACCTAAAAAATATTATTCATAGTCTTTGGCCTGTTATGGGCTGTCTTTGTTTAATATTTTGCCAATTGAAATGAGTGAGGTGCTTCTGCAAGAAGAAATATGACCCTGTTAGTTGGGAATGGAGGATGGGTCTGTTTTTTGCGTTGCACTGCCCCCGTTGCGAGGTTACCAAGAAAGGAGACCATTTATATTGACTTGGAGCAGAACTTTATTGATAATTTCCTTTTTACGAAGCTACAATAATATCTTTTCCATTCCGAGGTTGGCATGGGTGCATCTGATTTGCATTTATTCAAGGAAACAATATATACACTAAGGACACAGAGTTGAATCTTCTTGTTCCCTATTTTTCCAGGTCTGTGACAACTGCATGAGACAACTGTGTCACGATTGACTGGTGCAAGCTCATCATTAGGTTGGCGTGGTGCCTCCTGGTTACATGAGTAAGCTGCAGCCTAGTGATAGTACGCCTCCTGCCGACATCTGCCAATTAAAACAATTCTCCATGTGCCTTGATAATGTGGTTTGCATTTTCTTCATTTTCATACCCACATGCTCTGTGCCAGGCGAGATGAAAGGGTAAGAGTAGGTGGAGATGAAAGGTTAAGGGTAGAGATGAAAGGGTAGGAGTAGGTGTGTTTCCAAAAGAAAGTCACGGCACACAACTTGGGTTCCTGCAACATAATGAAGATTATCCACGTCAAGGAAATATAATGAAGGTTAAGATTATCCATGCTGAGGAAATGTAATGAAGATTACCCCTGTTGAGGAAATATGAGGGTTTCTTAGACCTATAGAGAAGGGTGTTTTGTGGGAGAATCAGGTAACACGCCAGATTTTTTTGAAGGTCCATCTAAAATCCCTTTCTACCCTGGTCTTCATCTTATTCAAACTTCCCTTGTTAACTGGGGATTGCCTACAGATTGAAATCTCATTGAGTGTGTTTTGGTTGGCTTCTTCTCTCTCCACATAGCATGCATACCAGCAACTATATTGTACGTGCTATCCAATATAGCACATTATAATTATAAAGCAATTTTTTCACTTTGTGTATCGCAAAATATGCTTTAAGAAGAGATTCGTATAAGATCTGGGGAAACCTGGAGTCCTTTAAAATAATAAAATTGGAGTGAACGTTGGTCATGTGATTCTTTACCCTGGGAAGGATAGGATGCTCACTGGTATTTCGGTGTCTAATATCCATTGATGTCATGTCATCGGCAGGATTTAGGGCCTTAAATACCTGTAAAGACGTGGATCCAATTGATTTCTTTGGATGTTGAATAAGAAGCTTTAGGCTAGCTCACAAAATACCATTATCTCTAGTTTGTCTCTTTTGAGGAATGTCTGCTCCAAACTTCCCCACCCCGCCTTTGATCCAAAAGATGCATATGAAGTGCATATATATATATATATTTATATATATATA